CCTTAATTCTCATTTGGTTGGCTCTGGTATCCTACAGGGTAATCTTTATTCATTGAATTTAGATTCAAATTATACGCAGTCTCTTTTATCCTTTAATGTGAATGATGTTACCAAGAAAAAGAGAAATCGAGAGGGTGAGAATTCATGTTGTGGCATAAACGTCTAGGCCACATATCAAGAGAAAGGATGGCACATCTTGTTAAAGACGAAATTCTTGATTCACTTGATTTCTCTGATTTCAGTACTTGTGTGGATTGCATAAAAGGGAAGTACACAAAATTTAAGAAAAAGGGTGCTTAAAGGACCACAGAATTGTTAGAAACAATTCATACTGATATATGTGGACCTTTTCCAATCTCAACCATTAATGGACATAAATATTTCATTACAGTTATTGATGACTTTTCTAGGTATACTTATTTGTATCTTATTCGTGAAAAATCTGAGTCACTTGATGTTTTCAAAATCTATAAAGCTGAAAAGCGTGAGATCCGATAGAGGCGGTGAATATTATGGTAGATTCACTGAGTCGGGTCAAAATCCAAGTCATTTTGCCTTATATTTGAAAGAGAACGGTATTGTTTCAAATTATACAATGCCAAGCACACCTGAACAAAATGGTGTTGCTGAGCGTCAAAACCGTACTCTAATGGAAATGGTGAGAAGCATGATATATAATTCCTCTTTACCTGAATTTTTATGGGGTGAAGCTTTGAGGACTGCTGTACATATTTTAAATCGGGTTCCTAGTAAGGTTGTGCCTAAAACTCCTTATGAGTTATGCGTTAGTAGGAAACCGACTTTAAACTATTTTCATATTTGTGGATGTCCAGCAGAAGCTAAAATATTCAACCCATAATTAAAAAAATTGGACTCTAGAACTATAAGTTGTTATTTCATTGGTTATCCAGAACGATCAAAAGGGTTTAGATTTTATTGTCCTACTCATAATACTCGAATTGTTAATACTAGACATGCTGTGTTTTTAGAAAATGGGGATGTTAGTGGGAGAATTGAGCCTAGAAAAATTTCCTTTGTGGAAGATCGGATTCTTATGCCATTACAGGTGGTCCAAGATAAGGTGCCACCTACACCTATTATGGAAAATTGTGGTATTAAATAAACTTCCCACATTAAGGAATCTACTCCAATTGTAGAAGTACCTTTATGCAGATCCCAAAGAGAAAGTAGGCCTGCTATATCGAATGACTATGAAATTTATTTAAATGAGTGTGATTATGATATTTGTGATACCCCTCGATTCTAGAGCCACGGGTGATCAAGTCCGAGCACAGATCCGAGGGATACCAAACAATTAATATGTAAACAAGCAGAAATAAAAACTGAATTAAGAATAAATTAATAATACGCTGAAAGAAATCTAAAATAAGAATCCTCAAACTTGAAATAATAAATATAATTTAAAACTGTACAACTCGGGAATCCACCTAGTGGACCCCTAATCCCAAATCCTTGAATAAATTTACAGAATTAAAATCCAAAATTAAAATAGAAAGAAAAATCTTATGTAACCGGAAGAGTGAGTGTCTGTATCTGCATCAACACGATCAAGCTCTAGGCCAGGTACTGTCGACCACCTGAAAAATAATAGAGTGGGTCAGGCCCACATGCAAGTCCTGATCTACTACGATCCAAACAGGAATCCGATACGCAGATACATCTTAGATAGACTCAACAATATCTAGAGTAGTCCATATATGTATATATTACACACTATAGGACGCTCACTAGTCCAATAGGTATGTCTCAGCCTGAGTAGAGATACCATGCAAATCGCACGTAATGTGGTCATGTGTATCTAGACCTACCAGGGAACAAAACCACTGTCCAGTTATCCATCCTAGGCGATATACGCACCCTAACCATGGTCCTGAGACTCAAGCTCATACCATGGCACCATAACATAAATATATAAAGTCCGTTCAAGGTGTGTCATTCAAAAAGTTTATTGACCTGACACATAGTTATAAGTAGGACTTAACTTTTATAGTTAATCCATCTTATTTCAGAGTAGGTAGGTCTTAATAATTGAATTAAGCCATCCCTAATATGCCACCGTCCCATACCGGTGCATATACATCCATATAAGTAGGACTTAACTTTTATAGTTAATCCAACTTATTCCAAAATAGGTAGGAGTTAGTATTTTAACTAATCCGTCCCTAGTATGCCACCGTCCCATACCGGTGCATACAATCCTCCCAAGAGCACAGTTTATAAAATAACATTATGCATTCAACAACCATTCTCCAAAATATGCATCAATATAATTTAACACGTATATATGAATATTAGGCATTCACTATAGGGCCTAAAAATAACATTCCAATAATATAAACTGCTAAAATAATCTAAGCATTTATATTCTCCAACTTGCCCATAAATTGATGCAGTTAAATAACAAACGTATATCAATTTTTAATCTAAACCAAGCATAGATAATTTCAGGTAAATCTCTACACTTATAACTCCACCTAAATATGATTTACAGTATTAAGCCATAAATAAAACAATCTCCAAGTACAGTAAATAGGTTTCTTAACCACAACAGTGCACCACCAACAGGTTTTCCCCCAAATTCAACTTACTCCATTCCTTAGTCCAATTATGAATTGATGTTTCCCTATTGTTTAATACAATTGGAGTACCAATTAAATCTATACTAGGTATAGTTGATTTAATTAATTCACCATTCTTATAACACTATGGAAAACTTGATTATATCTATAATTAAATCATATTTAAAAGCCTTGATAAGTTCCAATATATAAACCTAGCAAAAAAAATTGCAATACTGCAAGGTTTCTTAAACTGAATGCTACTCCATCATCTAAGACCATACTGTACCAATGTTTTCCAATAGTTTTATAAGTTCCTAGTAATTAATTACATCCAAGAAAATCAATTAAACCATTTAAGAAAAGTCTGTACAACCCAAAATAGTCCCTAAAACTCGTTCTTGTGCGTTTTAAGAAGGAGCAGGCTCTCAAAATTGGGAGCCTGCTCTACTTTTCATCTAGAGCCAGCTCTAGGCTCTTAGAGCCGGCTCCAAGAACACCAAGAGCCGGCTCCCCCCCTTTGGGAGCCGTCTCTAAGAGGTTTGGGAGCCCTCTCTCCCTCCTCTTAGCAGCCTCTGTTCGTTTCATCTTCCTCCTCTCCGATTCTGATGATCACCAGTCCTTTGTAGTAGTTTTTAATACATGTTTTAAAGTCCACCTAGATTCCATATTGGTCACAGAACAAGAACATACAACCCAAACTTGAATTTAAACACAAGTTGTTACACAACAGCAGCAAGGTTTCAAGTTAACATTGTAAAGCAAACTAAGAACAGATTTATTTCATGAAATTAAATACAAATTAAACATGCATAAGAGACGTAATTAAGACTTAATTTAATCCCTGGAGGCTATCTAAGCATGCACAAAACACAAATTCCTGGGAAAGAGAAGATTAGAAACTTGCCTTTGAAACTCAAACTTGCAAAGCTAATCCCACGTCTCTGAGTATTAAACCACCCTTGCTGCTCCTATTATAGTCTAGTAACACACACCAAACTTCCCTCCATGATTCTGTTTTGTGAACCACTCAACCTCCCACTCCGGTTCTCCCTGTATCTCTCTGGTTTTCACTACCAATCTAGGGCTCTATTTGTGGTTTACAAAACGTAGTTTATTTTGTTCTTCAAACCCTAAACCATATCTTGCTTTATATTTATAGGTGTATATGAATACCCTAGTCCACGAATAATCAGAGACTAAGCCCTAATCCCCATCCTAATCGGCCCATGAACTATCTCAGTTCTAATCTACGGCGGCTCACTATACAACCTTCTTAACCCTATTGTTTAACTAACGTATTGTTTTAAAACAATTCATTCACTTAATTCCCATAATTAAATAACTACATCAAATAACTTAAGTCAAATAAAACGAAGATGCAACTAAACCAAAAAGAAGCCAATTAATTCAAATAAAACAATTAACTCAATCAAATTATTCAAGTAATTAATTAAAATAAATTTAAGTAAATCATTTATTTAAAAATAAATACACACTTAATCAATTAAACAAACCAAAACACATAGCTCACATATTAAAAATGCAATAAAACTCAAAATTATCAAAATTAAATTCCCATTCTATCCTTTTGGAAACTAGGGGTATTACAATATTGGCTTGGAAAATGATCCCATTTCTTATGCTCAAGCCATAAGTAGCGATAAATCAACTCTATGGCTTAATGCCATAAATAAAGAGTTGAAATCCATGAAGGATAATGAAGTCTGGGATCTTGTAGAATTACCTGAATGATCCAAAACTGTTGGTTGCAAATGGATTTTCAGAACCAAACGTGATTCCAAAGGTAATATTGAGAGATACAAGGCCAGATTAGTTGCTAAAGGATACACTCAAAAAGAAGGGATTGATTATAAGGAAACATTTTCTCCAGTTTCCAAGAAGGACTCCCTTCGAATAGTTATGGCATTAGTAGCTCATTATGATCTAGAGTTATATCAGATGGACGTCAAAACAGCGTTCTTAAATGGTGACTCGCATGAAGTGGTCTATATGGACCAACCTGAAGGTTTTCAGGATAAAGGCAAGACCCACAAGGTGTGTAGGCTTAAAAAGTCCATCTATGGTCTAAAGCAGGCTTCTCGACAATGGTATCTTAAGTTTCATAAAGTTTTAACCAACTTTGGTTTTAACGAGATTCTAGTGGATTCATGTATATACCTTAAGATCAGTGGGAGTAAGATCTGTATTATAGTATTGTATGTTGATGATATATTGCTTGCCAGCAATAATATGGGAATGATACATGAGACAAAACAATTCCTATCAAGGAATTTTGATATGAAAGATATGGGTGAAGCATCGTTTGTTATTGGTATTGAAATTCACCGAGATAGGTCTCGCGGTCTTTTAGGATTATCCCAATGAGCCTATATTGATAAGGTTCTTAAAAGATTCAACATGCAGCATTGTTCGAATATTGTTGCCCCTATTGTTAAGGGTGACAAATTTGGTGAATTCCAATGTCCCAAAAATGATATTGAACAGGAACAAATGAAGGAAATTCCTTATGCTTCTGTAGTTGAGAGTATTATGTATGCTCAAGTTTGTACACGTCCTGATCTAGCATATGTGGTAGGTATGCTTGGTCGATACCAAAATAATCCAGGTATTGATCATTGGAAAGCAGTCAAGAAAGTACTACGTTATCTGCAAGGAACTAAAGACTACATGCTTACATATAAAAGGACAGATAACCTTGAGGTTATTGGTTATTCAGATTCTGACTATGCTGAACGCATGGATACTCGAAAGTCTACTTTTGGATATGTTTTTATGCTAGCAGAGGGGCCTACTTCATGGAAGAGTCAAAAGCAATCACTAGTTGCCTCTTCCACTATGGAGGCCGAATTCGTAGCATGTTATGAAGCCACGTGTCATGCAATATGGTTAAGAAATTTTATCACAGGATTAAGTGTTGTTGATTCGATTACAAAACCCTTGAAAATTTACTGTGATAATGATGCTGCTATTCGATTCTCTAAGAATAACAAAACTACTGGAGGATCGAGGAATATTGATATCAAGTATCTTGCTGCGAAAGAAAGGGTTTTGTATCAAATTGTCTCAATTGAATATATCAGTACTACACTCATGTTAGCAGACCCATTGACAAAAGGTCTCTCACTTAAGCTCTTTAAGGATCATGTTGCGCGCATGGGCTTGGTGGAAAGTCTTTTATGTTTGGGTTAAAAGTGTATTGATATTTTTGGTGTGATCACATTATGTTTATGACAATATGATAATTATGTTGTGTTGCTTTCAACTTTCGTACACATTTAAATATAAAAGCAATACTGGATCGTTAATGATGAATTAGCACTAATCACCATTACTTTTTATGTCATTAGTATTAGTTAAATCTCACCGATTCAAGTTGATGAAGGTATTAATGCTATAATTGTTGAATGGTATTGAATCGATGAGTGATTCAATAACTACAATGGTTTGGCATTTGTGGTTTCATTGAACAGAATCTAATGGAGATGGTGCAACCTCTTCTTTGAAAAAGAATGATGGCCATATTATGTGAATAATCTAATAAATGGCATAATTATGTAGGCCAAGTGGGAGATTGTTAGAAATTTATCTCTTTTATGTGGCCTTTACATTATTATATATATGCTATATTAGATACTTCCATGAAGAGGGTTTTAAGAAATTAATTGGAAGGTGATCCAATATTAAGTGCACCTATATGAAAAACCAAAAGTGTAAAGATAGATAAGACTTCTAACGTAATTTGAGTTACATATATACTCTTTTATTTATTAAGTGATTAATACTTCACTAATGGAATTTGAGTTAGCGGTCACTTAATGAAAAGTAAAGTGATCCTTTAGTAACTCTTGAAGTTATTGTTCACTTAATGAATAGTTAATGAAGAGTTAAGATTTCTTGTAACTCTTGGTGTTCTTATGAAAATATAAAAGTCTTTTATGGGAAGACTAACTTTAATGAACTAATGTTATATAAAAGGGTCCCAAACTATACTCTCTTATAACGTGAATTGTGAAATGAAACACCACAATTTGTACCCATTAACTATAGAGAAAGAAGTGGTTTGAAGATCTTATAATTTCAACATTGGTTATTCAGAATAGACGAAACCTAACTTTTGGCTCAGTCAGCATCAATAACTAAGGTTCAAAGTCTCTTACTCATAATGGATCAAGGTAAGATATGTACTACTTCTACATTTTATAACTCATTGTGTTTTTGTGCATCAAAGTTGAATCCTAATGGGCTAATTATTGTATTGTTAAAGTAATTCTTATTATGTCAAACATTAATAGGTTTAAATTTTCACTTTCAACTCCTTTGTCAAAATTTAGAGTCTGATGAAAGAAAACAAAGAAGAAAAAGAAATTGAAGTCATTAGTCTACTTTTTGTTTTATTGGCTCTGGGTCAACACTCTCAAATCCTAGATCAAAATTTCGAAACTTATGCAGAGAAGAGAGAAAAAAGGAAATCGAAGCCATCTTCTCAGATCATAATCTGATTGCACATGATGAATTTTGACTCTGAAAATAAGGGAACAGTGGCCAATTGATAGTGATACTCGATAAGTTGATGGTAAAAAATTTCCATTTTCAGACTCATGAAATTTAAATTTTCACTAGTGTATCCGCATCCCAATCAAGCAGGTATAATGTTCACATAACAATTGATCAATTACTACTATATAAAAAGCAAAGAGATTTTTTAATTTTCAAGATCAGTTATTAGTTTATGTTAAAATTATATATATATATATATATATATATATATATATATATCAGTTATTAGTTACTAAAGGTTGCAGTTTCCTGATCGATACTTTTTTATCCTTTAAAATAGATAGTGGATGTTTCAAGTCTCTTAAGTGATTGTGTAAATGTGTTTTTTGATAATAAAAATAAAAATAAAAATTTTACTCGATCCACACAATATTTTTATCATTTATTTAATCTTTCTTAGAGGAGGCCCACTCTAAATTTACTGTCAAAATGGAACCATAATAAGAACATTTAAATATTTGCTCACATGTTTAAGTTGGCCACAGAGTTCATATTTGGATTGGAGAGTTTTAAATGTCAACTTGAGTATTGCCTAGAGAAGAAAATGTTCAAAATATTTCATACCAATTCCATACGTCTTCTCCAATTGGAAACTTTCCTTATATTACCTAAAGTTTTGAAAAATATAGCCGTTAGAAATTCCTCTCTCCATAGCTATACCTCATTACAAATACTCACCATCTATATCTTAATTGAACAATTAAATCTACAGTAGATTTTTTTCTTCAAGAACAAAAGATCCAGACAATCTTTGGGAATAGATTTTTTAGGATTTTGTGAGGATCTCAAAATGACATCCACTCGTTGTGCAGCTTGCAAGTATTTGAGAAGAAGATGCCCTTCAGATTGCATTTTCGCTCCTTATTTTCCTTCAAATAATCCTCCAAGATTTTCTTGTGTTCATAGAATCTATGGTGCTAGCAATATTGGAAGGATGCTTCGGGTAATATATTTATGTATATGCTTTTATTTATTTAATCTGTAGCCATTTATGATATCTAATAATGAAGCTAAAGAGTCAGTTTTCTTATATTGTTGAGTCAAAAAAAAATATTTAACCTATATTGTCAAGTCATTTGCTACTCAATACAATAGCTTTTTAATGAGAAATGATTTTAAATCCGTGGATTTAATCTGAAATCCTTGGTCAAACAGTGTTTATTCACAATGATTAACGGAACTCATATTAGGTCCCACTTCACTATATTTTGCAAATAAAAACAGCACATTTAAAGATTTCGGTGCAAATCTTCGATTAGATTAACACAAATCTTTGATTATTAATATCAAGAATGACTAATTAAGTTTTTTTAACATCTTTGTTTATTTTCAGTGAATTGATATGTCGGGTCCCAATCTCCTTTGCAAGTATGCAATAATTTATTTATTTTTTAAGAAAAGTTCGTATTTTTTAAAAATTGTATATTTATGTTTTCTTTTATATCATATATATGCATGATTTCGCAACCACAAAAAACAGAGTATATTACTACACTGGATACTATAGCTTAATTTAGCAGCATATCCCCTACAAAATATTTTTTTTTACTTCTTTATTTGCTCATTTAAATTCTATTTTTTCATCTCTAACACATACCCATTGCAGATGGCTTTTTTAGAAATTAAACCCTAAATTTGTTGCATGTAAATTACATATTGGCTATATATATTTGAATGCTTTCCATGACTATTAATTTGATGGTTGGATACGGAATATATTACTCCATTTACATTATAATGCTATAAATACAATTATGAGTGAATTTAAACTAATTCCTATATGAATGACATTTGAATCTTGGTTGATGATGATCAGGAACTCCCGGTTCATCTCCGAGCTGAAGCTGCAGATTCCTTACACTACGAGGCACAATGCCGGATTCAAAACCCGGTTTATGGCTGTGCCGGTATCATCTCTGCGTTGCATCAACAAATATACAAAGCACAAAGTGAGGTAGCCAGGGTCCAAGCGGACATTGCCTTCCTAATGAGTAATACTAGTAGTGTTCATGAACAAAATGTTGCTGCTCCAAGCTTCAACAACATGACCTTCTTGGCAGAGCAAAATAGTACTGTTGGGCAGCCATCACATGTCCCTTCCACTACTTGGTTTTACTAGCTAGGGTTTAATTGAAAGCATATGAATTAATATTTGCGCAAAATTTCCTTTCCTCTATGAATAAGTTTATGGGTAGGGTTTGTTTGGATGTAATATATATATATATATATATATATATATATATATATATATATATATATGGTAGTGGTTTGTTATTAAAAATTTAAGTAAAATATTTACAAAGTAAAATATTTATTAAAAAATGTTTATTTAGTCAACTCAAAAATAATTTCCGTCAGTTATATATATTTTTACCTAAAAAGAAAAATATTTTATGAGAAAGTTATTTGACGAATGACAAAACAAAGTATTACTTAGTCAACTCATATCAATTCAAGCTTCTTAGAATTAAATCAATACCTTCAAAAACACAAAGAGAAATAGATATATATATATATATATATATATATATATATATATATATATAGAATTTTCTTCTAAATTAAGTTTAATTTCAAGAATATTATAAGTATAAATTAAATTAAAAAATATTGAGTGACATTCAAGCACAACTTGGGTGGATTGCGCTTGGAATTCCCAACAAATCCCAATTCAAAATCCAATCAGAAGCACAACTTGGGTGGATTGCGCTTGGAATTCCCAACAAATCCCAATTCAAAATCCAATCAGAACATATATTGGTTTATCCAAGTTTCATCCTCCACAGTACCACCTCCAACCCTATAAAGAGATAACATATACTCAACATGACACGTGTTGTTCCTACAAGATCTCATGACTTATTTTATGAGCTCTCTTTTAGGTTATATTTGGTACAATGAATAAAAAAAGAAATGATGATATTAGTTAGGAGATAAAGGAAATGAGATGGTAGTGTTTATCATGTATTCTATTTGACTAATTAATGAAGGAAAAAAAAAAAAAAAAAATTATAGTAACCAGGAAAGGAAAAGAAATGATATTATTTAATAAATTTACTATTGTAACCTTTTTCGTAAGTTTTGTCTTTTATGTAAATACTAATAATAAAGCCAATGTCAATATTAAAAAAAATTTATTAAACTTTATGGCCCTTCCCTTTTATTTCCTCCCATTTTTTTGAAGGTTAACAAAACTCACCGTTCATGACTAATTTGTATACCTCCAAATTCCTAAATTTCCTTGAATGATTTGTACCAAACACAACATAGCATTCCCCTCCATCACCTTTCTTTTATTTTATTTTCATTTCTCTCCGAGCAAAATGGGCTGGGGCCTTAAAGATAAAGAAAACAATAACAAATTACATCATCACGTGAATATCAAAAGGGATCTCGCTAGAAAGGAAAAAAAATAAATAAATAAATATATATATATATAGGCCTAAGTGCGGAAAACACCTTTTAAATATACTTCGCATAACACTTTAACCTCTTATTTTTAAAAATGTTCTATTATCTCCCTTAATCACAGACCTAACATAAGATCAGTGTGGGCAGACTTGGAAAATTTTTTTATTTGTGTTACTACTATGTGTTTTGTTAGAATTTAAGAAATGGGCTCACTCAATTTTTTAAAATACTCCATTATACACACGTGCCCCCTTTGATTTTTGTGAATTTAAAAGATACTAAAATAATCCGGCTCTCTTTAAGTAATTAGGTTCTTATGATTATTATAATTTTTTTTAAAAAAAAACGATCTTTAAATTGGTTTTCTTCAATGGCGCCCCCTCCCCCCCTCCCAAAAAAAAATTCAAGGATCTGTCACTGTCCTTATTGTTTTAAAAATGTGTGGAAGCACCCTTCAAATTACTTTTTGCAAGTCCTTGACATAGAGCAATGCTTTAATGTTTGTTTAGCCCTTTTAGCTTTCCAAAAATATTGCATTTGTATTATAAGGTAAAGTGCACTTAACACCCTTATTATATACTCCGAAACACACTTTCACCCCCCCTATTTCTAAAAATGTGCTATAAATATCCTTAAGGTTTAAAATTTGTGCGAAAACCCTATCAAATCACTTTCCTGCAAAATCTGAAATAAAGTAATTGTAAAATGTTACGTATTGTTCTTTTACCCTTCTAACAATGCCCAAGGGGTATTTATTATTTATATTTGTTTCATGTAGGGATATTAGGTGGAAATAAAATAAAATTAAAAAAAAAAAAATCAAATCTCCACAGCTTACAAGTAGAAGTAAAAGAAAAGGAAAATAGGCGCTGCTGAAAGATCATTATTAGGTTCTCCTCAAGAGGATGGGTGGGAACTTTAATTTATAATAATTGTAGATCAATTAAAAAAAAAAAAAAAAAAAAAGGCATTTTCCATGTGAAACAAGGCCAAATGGGCATTTACATATGCATGTAATATAACACATGTAAAAACACCACCAACACCAACAATACCATTATCCAGTGCTGATCCCACCTACATGGAGTGCTACATTGACATTATTTAGCTGAAATCACTACCTTCATAATTGAACCCGAGTCCTCACACTTGCATCGTGCAATGGGTAAGAGCTCGTGTTCTCTGGAAAACAGCCCAAATATAGTAAGGCTATGGTTGGTTGCGTCAAATTTAAATTGGATTGGAAATGGGAATGCATTAAAATTTTAATTTCATAGTATTACAATCTCACGGATTCAACTCCAAATTCACCGTTTGAATAAACTTTGAAATTCAAGTGTAATTGAATTTCAATCCCAATTTGGATAAATCGTAATTTGGAATTGAATTAAAAAATGATTAAATAATTAAGCCCATGTGTATGTAAATACATGTATACAATGATATACAAGCACATACACTTGAATAGATATACACAGTTATACAAAACTAACATATATACACACATGCATGCACATATAGAGATATATACAAGACATTTTTTTTCCTAAATGAGATTTTTATAAATAAAGGAAAAAAAGAAACGTACAAGATTATCGAGGGCTCCCCTTGCCGTACAAGAACTGCAAAAAATTAGGCAAAAGCTAATCCATAACTAAGCAGAGCAATACAACCAAACCCTCGTTAATTACGCAAATGACCTCCTGGTGGGAAAGCCCCAGGACTCCAAACACCTCCCCAACAATGCTCCCCGCAAGGTCCACGGGAAGAGTATGAACACTACAATGGTGTTATAGATCTATGGTTCGAATTGTTCCATTGAGATGGGAGATAAGATGGAAGTGTCTGAAGTGATTGAGATGGAAGATGGATGTGATACCCCACTTTCAGAACGCGGATTGATCAAGTCCTCGCCAAAAAATCAGAGTTATCAAACAAGTAAGGATAATTTATACAAACTTCCCCCATAGTTTGTCATAATTACACAGACCTCCCCTGTAGTTTGGGAATTTACTTTGACCTCCCCTAAAAATAAAAATATCCTACACAGGCCTCCGTTATGTGTGACGGACTGTCAAATACACTACCGGACCAGTCAAATTTACTGAAATGCCATCACGTTGCCATTTGAAATTACTAAAGTACCCTATGTTATTGTCTAAGCATAACGTCACTACGTCAGTTATACACAGCTGCCTTATACATATCCTTTTGAAGGGAAATTGCATTCAATTGTACCTCTATTTCCCAAAACGGATGTCCTTTCATATGCCTAATCAATATGAGATCGTGTAAGTTAGGGTTTTATATCATTTCAACACTTTGAGAGAGAGAGAGAGAGAGAGAGAGAGAAAGTTTGTATGTGCTCTGCCAAGCCTAAAGTTCACATTGATAAAGAGAGAGAGGGGGATTTACCAAAGATTGCATCAACAAACGATTTCGTTTTCCATATTCGGCATCAAATCCAAGTTCGTTTTTGCGAAAAATGAGTTAGGGTTTGCGCGACATCGCATGAAAACAATCGGAACTCCAACCTACTGATTTGCAACATTAAAGTGCTTTGAGTTAAAGGTATGTGAAAATTTTTACAATATCTACTTGATTTTTTTTGCAAAATCAAAATGTATAAGTTAGGGTTTCGGTGTTTCTAATTAGTTTAGGGTATCTATTTTCTATTACTCTATATTTAGTTTAGGGTTTTTGTTTATTATTACTCTATTTAGTTTAGGGTGTTTATAATTGCTTTTTCATCTAATTTGGAGGTAGTTTTTCAATTCATTGTTCGGCGTACATTTTGTTTAATTTTTGTTTATTATTTGTTTTTTTACAATTTTAATTGTTACAATGATGGAATCAATTCATAATATTATTGCTCACTACAAGAGTAACCTAACTTTTATAACTAGTGTTGATCCGGATTTTTATAGCATCTTTAATCTTGTTAAAGATGTAACAACTTTAGCTTTATCTCATATTCCACTTATTGTCACTTTGTCACTGTATCTGTCTTGTGTTGTTCGTGCGTCTTCTGTTAGAATCCATGTGGATAGTGATAAAGATGTGTTAGAGATGTTTAAAGTAAATGCTAGTAAGAGATTGATAGACTTGTATATTGACAAGGTTGTCACTGATGTGAGTCCTGAATTTAGCTCAATTGAGGCCATGGACTTTGATGATAGGAATTTTGATGACATTAATTTTAATGATAGTAACCTGGATAATAATGAGACAAATGTCAATGACAATGATGCCAGTAATGTGAGAGACAATGAGACCAATGTCAATGACAATGATGACACTAATCTGAATGACAATGACACCAATGTGAATGAGAACAATAGAGGACATCTTGAGGATGAGTATGATTTGGAAGATGACAATGATATATTTAGGTTTAGATCTGAAGATGAGGAATGGGAAAATAGTGGAAAGGGATAGAATCCAGTTCACATTGATGATGGGAATAAGAATGTGGAGGAAGAAAAGAACCATAGTAAGGATCGTATGTCAGACAATGAATCTAGAGATGATGCTGGTACTGAATTTGATATATAATGACTTGTATGTGGAAGAAGAATAGTTTGAAATAAATGTTGAACAACAGAAATTTGAGACAGTAAGGGCTAGGTCTGTTGGACCAAGAGGGGGATGAATTGGTCAATTTCAAATCCTTTTTCTTCACAGCAAGATCAATGTTGACAAGAAAACACAATGAACACAAGGTATACAAAGAAAACCCTCTCAATAAGGAAAAACCTTGGTTCTTGGTGATAAGCGCCAAATATTGCATATTCAAACGCTCTTAATTGCATGTTTCAGTCTATTTAGCATGTTAATAAAGTATATTTTACAGGCTTTGTTGCATTTTGTCTATTTTCAGGGTTTATCTTCAAAATGGAATAAAAGCAAGCTTTTACGGGGTTTTAATGAACAAAGTTAATGGTGAGCTATGGAAACCAACAAAGTGGTCCTAAGTCTCTGAGCAAGCTTAGCCTGAGGAAGGAAGTCGACATGAGAAGCTAGTAAGAAAGATGAAATGCATCATTGGAAGAACAAGGCTGGCATTCAGACGTAACCTCTAAGACCATTCTTGGCGTTCGGATGCCATGTGTAATCGTAGCCTAGAAATTACGAAGTTAAAAGAAGATGAATTCCAGTAGCTAAACAAAAATGCATCTGGACACCCGATGCTAGAAGCTTGCACCATGAGCACCTCAGCGTCCACAAGGCACGCAAGCTTGACAAGCTGCGTCCGGACACCAACCTGCGAATTAATGTGGGATTTTGAATTTTTAGTTATTTTTCTCTTTCTTCTCCTACTTCAATGCACAAGTTTTAGGGAGATTTTTGACTGAATCTGGTAGAGGGGGTTATATAGATATTACTATAATGTATTTCATATCATCTATCATATCATATTTGAATTTTGTAGCAATTCTAGAGAGAAGAAAGGAGGAATAACTAGGGTTCTTGAGTATTTTTAAGAGGGGCTGCCATAAAGCTGAAGATGGAGGCTTCCTATTCAACCATTGGAGTTTCCACTACCTCCAAGATGAGCTAAATCTCCTTCTAAGGGATTGAGGTAGCCTGGACCAAATTATACATATCATTCTTTGTATTTTAATTTAGGGAAATAGCTTTGTATGTAATGAATTTCATGAATAAGATGAAGGTTCATATTGAAATAGTTCTTTTAACATATCTGAGGATTCTTTTAGCAGCTTGAAGGTGAGAAACTCTTGGATTGCTTTGAAACCTTGCAACTAAGCCCATAGAATACATGATATCAAGCCTAGAAGCTGTGAGATACAACAAGTTTCCAATGATAGACCTATAAAGGGTTGAAGGGACAGTTTTTGTGGTACACTTAAGTGTAAGTTTGGTATTAGGGCACAAAGGTGTAGAAACAACCTTACTTTCAGCCATGTTAAACTTCTTGAGTAGCTCAATAGCATACTTCTTTTAAGAAATGAGGATTCCTGTGGATGTTTGACGAGTTTGAAGCCTTAAGAAGTATCTAAGAGTCCTTAGAAGAGACATTTCAAACCTTGTCTTCATGAGATTGACAAATTATGAGGTTAATGAAGTGTCTGAACCACAGGACATGATATCATCAACATAAATTTGAAGAATGAGGAATTGATCTTGATGAGTTCTGACATATAAAGTGTTATCCATCTTACCTCTGTGAAACCCTTGTTTAACCAAGAAGTTATGTAGCTTTTCATACCAAGCTCTAGGGGTTTGTTTAAGACCATACAAATCCTTTCTTAGTTTAAACACATGAGATGAGAGTTGTGAATTTTAAAAACCTTTAGGTTGTTCTTTGTAAACTTCCTCTTTAAGTTCATTATTCAAGAAAGCTGACTTCATATCCATTTGGTAAAACTTTGACTTGTTTGTAACAAGCAAAAGATAAGAACATTCTGATGGATTCCATTCCTTCCACAGGAGCAAATGTTTCATCATAGTCAATACCAGCTTGTTGAGTATAACCTTTGCACACCAACCTTGTCTTGTTTCTGATAACTGAGCCTTCTTCATTCAACTTGTTTATGAGAATCCACTTAGAGCCAATAAAATTCTTGTCTTCGGGTCTTGGAACAAACTTCCAAGTGTCATTCTTGTGGATTTGATCAAGCTCTTCCTGCATAGCTACTATCTAATCTTTATCATTTTTGGCTTCTGAATAACATTTAGGTTTAATATAGGACATCATTGCAAAATGACTGTATTCTTTAGCATCTTCAACCTTTAACTCACCTAACTTCTTTTTAGCCCTTGTTTAAACTCCAGTTCTCAGTGAGCCAATGATGTTTTCAGCTTCAACCTGCTTCTGCAGAATTGGATAAGTAGTTTATTTCTAATTTATAGACTCTGAGAGTGAGGTACTAGCTTTATTTGATCCTGGTGTAAAATAAGTTTCTTCAGAGCCATTTTCTTGAGGATTCTCATCAAACCTCACATGAATTGACTCAACCACCTTTGAGGATCTTAGATTATAGCATCTGTAAGCCTTACTCTTGGTTAAGTATCCTACAAAGATACCTGATGTGTTCTAAAACTTGATATTCTTTTCAATTAAAACCCACTTGTAATAGCACGAATCCTTGTAGGATGATGAGCACTGAAAAGTGCGCATTTAAACCCGTTAAGCTTAAGCATTCTAGTACCTTTATCTATCTTACTTTGCCGTTTTAGACTTATTACGTGTTATTTATATTTTCAAGCACTAATCCCAAAATTGAGCTAACTCAGCCAAATAAGAGCTTAATTGAAGCAATCCTGAGATAAACCAAAGGAGGGAGCAAAGTGGAGAAAGAAAGGAGCAAAAAGGAATCAAGTTGTGCAGCTGAAAAGTTCGATCGATCCAACTTAGAGTTCGATCGATCGAAAATCTATGATCGATCACAGTACCTCTCGATAGATCCAACCTCGGCCTTTGCTGAAATTCCAAGTTCGATCGATCGAACATCACCTTCGATCGATCGAACCCTGTTTTGTCCTATTCAAATGATTGATCTTATCCACAGCTGTACGCCTACCAACCACTTTTGTCTTTTTCCCCATAAATATCTTGAAAATATCCCAGCCTTGTCATTATCCGGAGGAGTCAGACCACTTCGATCGATCCAAGATGCAGTTCGATCGATCGAACCCATTTTCGATCGATCCAAGTTAAGGTTCGATCGATCGAACTTCCTCCAGCGAGAAAAAGTTAAAGTCCAGCTCATTTATTCCGTCCTTCATCCAATCATTGGAGAATATACCTTGCACGACCACAGCTCATCATGGGGTGTATTTGACCTACCTATATAAGGAATATGATACACTTTTTGAGAAAGTCTCTTGTCACACATTGAAAATCATCTTGGAGGCTATTCTTGGAGAGGAAGAAAGGAGGAAGCTAGAGCAACCATTGGAGGAGATCTTCACCAACAAGGAGCAGCCATGGAGTTAACCCTTGAGGGTTGGATCATCACTACCATGAGTGGCTAGACATCCTCTTGGGGCTAGAGTTAACCCCAAGCATGCTTTCTATACTCTAATCTTGTGTATTATTGAGGGATTAGTGTTGTATGACACATCTTGATATTCATGTATATATAAATCTTGATTATTTCATGGTTTGTATGGTTTAATGCTTCCAATTGACTATTCTATTCTATCCATATGTCTATGTATGCTAGAGTAGGATATTCATGTGCTTATCCCTAGATTTAGTGTTTTTGATGCATGTCTATGTGTATTGATGCTATAGATCTAGAGATTATCAAGATGATATGCTTAATGAATGCTATTTTGGTTCATTTGATGGTTTATGCCTATTCTTGATGGTTTATGCCTCTCCCCTAGTCTAGATAGCTTTATTTTCATGCTAGTAGTGTAGATTTAGTGTAGTGGTAGTGTAATGTTAGATGGGAGGACAATCTACTCTTGATGTTTGATGTTCCATGCTTGTGAGTCCAAAAGGCATATTCCTCTAATATTGTATTGTATGTGGATTGTGAGCTTAATGAAGGATTAATGACTAGTTATGATATATTGTATCTTTCACATGTGTTTAGACAATTTATTCCTCTCCCAATAGATATTTTGTACCTCTCACATGATGTTTAGATAATGCATGTTTAACTAAATCATCCTTATGGATTGCTTGGACTATGAGCTTAATGAAAGGTTCAATAACTTGAATTGTTATTTTGTTATTTTCACATGATGTTTAGACAATATATTCCTCTACCAATAGATGTATTGTGGCCTCACACATGTTGATTGAGACAATTTGCACTTGTTGAGTCACCCTTACCAATTGAATGTCTTTTACACACACAACATTGTTGCAACACATTCATTTCCCTCATTAGTCACTTGATTATGGTTTGGAATAGTATTGTTTGGTGGTGATCTCACACCCCAAGACCTTTCCTTCTTACTTACTCTTTATCTTATTGCATTGTTTTATTATAGTTTAGCTCATTTAGTATAATCAACCAACCCAATTCTCTTTTGCAGTCATTTGGTACGTTAGAGTCGAAGTTGAAATTCCAACACGTATAATCCCTTGGGACGATCCCTACTCACTCTTGCTACGTTAGTAGTGGTGTTGGTAGTAGTTTTTATAAATTTAAATTTAACATAAAAGGCTTTTCTTGAACCACACATTCACTACATTTAGTTTGGCGTTTACAAGCGACCTCGTCAGATTTTGGCGCCGTTGCCGAGGATTTTAAATTGGCAACGTCGAATTGTGAAATTCAATTAGGATTAGTACTCTTTTGATCGTGTCTTTACTTTCTTTTTATTTTCTGTTTTTGATTGCTTATTGAATTTGTTCTCCATTGACTAGGTGCATTGAGCAATGAGCTAGCAAAGTAATTCCAAGCTAAGGAGCAAAGCAAAGCAAAGGAAAAATGCTTAAAATGAAAAATTGTTAA